CCTCTTGAGGGCATGAAGTGACAAAAACGTTCAACATGCCTCCATTAAAGCCCATTGTAATTTTAGGCTGATATTTCCTCACGGAGCAGCCGCACACCTTTAGTTAAATTGCCAAAAATGACACATTATTAACCCGAAAGTACACACAAATTACACTTCAGATGCTCAACTTCCTTGACATGCTTCACGTTTTGAAATTCCACAGATATCTGTTACGTTCACATGTAAGAGGTTTATCTCTCATTCAGAACAATGGAAACCTGTGATCTCTACACACCTCGTTAGTTCAAATATAAACACCTGTGTCATGGGACACAATGATGTCATAACTCCAACTGACATGCTCAGAGCAGCAGACTTCAGATAAAGGATAATGGTCCTGCCCTCAACAGCTCTACGTCAATTATGGGGTGTCATCATCATATGCCAAGAGGGAGAGAAGAGAGAGAGAGGGTGATCAAGAGTAATGTAATAAAACACGGTGTTCTCATAACTTCAGTGAAAATACTCCAAACAGCCCAAAACTTCACAGGTAACGATGCAGCCATCAACGCATCTAAGCGTATTATGGGGTGTCATCAAATCAGTGACGTGCGGTGAGGCACTGACTCTTTCAGTGTCAGATTTACAAATATTATATTCTGACCTTAATCGAAATATTCTGTTATTTTCAAAAGCTTTTTTGGTCTGATGTTTCGATTCATTTTAAACAGACCGTTCAACAAAAGGATACCCACAATCTAAATATTGGATTGTTCTTTCTAAGTAAGAACCAATTTTCATTACCAATGTGGTCTTACCTTGACTTGAAGATGAAGTCCATGCTATCCTTCTGGACAACAATCTCTATTACTTTTTTGTAAAAGTCCTCCTTATCTTCCTCTAGTTTCAAAAGTCTAGCTTGTTGTTCGCGTCTATACCGTCTCTGCGTAGAATAACAGTAGCAACAAGGACCTGTGGGCTCACGTGCTCCCCCTTCAGTGCGGCAGAGGTTATGGCTGCCTCCCCTGGTGCTTTTTTCATTGCCGTCGTACGGCGAGCCTAAATATCATATATACGTGAAATAAGTTATTTAGAGACTATGGATGGCGAGGATAAATGTAATAAAGGGATCTACAAACATTACATTGGTGACCTACAGTGAGATGGTAACAGGCATGCGCTTAGTGCCCGCTTTCCAGCCAGTTTCTGTGAGGTGACGCATTTTGAGGTGAGGCAGAGCTCATCTGTGCCTCACCTCACCACACAGTACTGGCTTGAGCGCGCTCACAAAATAAGTGCCCGCGCTAAATTAGTGCCCGCGCTCCAGCCAGTTACTGTGGGCTTACGTGAGGCAGAGCTCGTCCCTGCCTCACTCCTCATCGCTCCCATGTAGTTGTAGCGGAGCTCGACAAATTTGCTGATTTTGACTATAAAAAGCGATTGGAATCATACATAAATCACATTTACAACACAGATCAGTGGAGACATTTTATTATTATTACTATTTAGTTTTTCTTTAGTTGTTTTTCCGTTACATTGTAGTATGGCCAGTCTATGAGTATGACAGGTGAGGCTCTGCCTCCCCTGCCTCCCCTGACTGCACGTCGCTGCATCAAATGCCGTTGCCATTGCGACAGACCACTTGCCATGAAACAGGATGTCGCTGTAAGTCCAATCGACACGGTGCAATCGTCCCCCAATCTTCACTTGTAGGCCTATATCACCGGTCCATGCCTCAACAGCTATACGCCAAATCTGAGATCTCACCAGGGGCGGATCTACCGGGGTGGCATGGGGTGGCAACTGCCACCCTAAACAATAGCCTTGCCACCCCAGCTGCCACCCCAGTTGGCATCTTTGTTTTGAAAGAAAAGTTGTGGCTCATCGGACATTTATGAGATAAAGTCTCTAATGTCCGGGTGCAAGTGAATGCAGCACAATATGCACATCATGTAACCCCTCCCCCGGTCCTGGCGCGAGAGTGGAAATATGATTGGTGGCGAATTCACTTGAACGGGGGGACGGCGCAAAACGAGAAGCCTTTCGGACCCAAGCACTGAAGGAATGAGGTAGTTGCGGTCTACAATGACAGAGAAGAGACTGTCAGTTTGGCTGTACTCAGCATTGAATCAAAACGCACTACAGCTGTTGATCTTAATACGTTTGTGAGGCGTTTTGCTGAACAAAATAGTAATCGCCGCATTCAGCTGTAATAGACATGTCAACTTGATGCTCTGCTCACGGATGACTCGATGAGAATAACAAACTGTTAAGATGATGACCTTGTATGCGTGTATATATTTGTTTTTCTTTGAGGGGGTCTGCCACCAAAAAACAGTTTTAAGTCCTGAGAAAGTAAAATAAGACGGTGTGTAAAACTACACTGCCCAGTCAACAGAAAGTAACCACTTTGATTTAACTAGGCCAGTAGGTAAGGACCTTCCACTGGATAATAACTGCAGCGATGTTTTAGCTGAATACACGTTTAACCCTAACTGATGCAGTTAGTCACTTCTTTAATGTTTGTTCTTTCTGATGTAAAGTCAAGGTTGTAACTGTATATCAATAATTATATAATTACTTGTTTTTCAAATTTGAAGGAGGGTGAGCAAGCATCTTGATGAACATTCATCATTAACTCCTCCAAAAAATATAGTTTATTCAATAATAAATGAATATGTGAATCATAACAGTTCTTCACTATATCTGTAAAGCGTCTTTGAGCACCTGTAAAAACACTAACAAATTAAATCTATTATTATTATTTATTAACAGTGATTGACAGCTGATAGGAATAATATGATTGTTAATAGTATCATATTCATTCAGACAAACATCAATGAGACAGTTAATTAATGTACTTATTGCAGCAGTCTGCATAGATTTGGTACCCCTACTGGTCTAAGAGTGAAACAAACTCATTCAGTTATTGTTCAGTTAAAATTCATTAAATTACGTCTGCCACCTTGTAAGGCTTTACTGATGTGCCACAATAATATCACCTATGTGATTGAGTTAAAATATTAATATTGTGGCTTTCCAAGTTAACATTGATTGTAGGGGTGTAACGGTTCACAAACATTTCGGTTCGGTACATACCTCAGTTTTTAGGTCACGGTTCGGTTCGGTACGTTTTCGGTATAGCAGAAAAAATTATCACAAAACATTAAATATTTTTTTAAAATTATTATTAAACTGTGACTAATGTATTCAAATAAATACAAAATATAGTAAAATAAACATTAAGGTGCAGCATTTCGATGAACTGAAATAATCTGTATTTGAACTGTACTAGTACCTAAGCAGCCAGCTTGACATTAGGACTTGCTTGTCATTGTATTTTCATGTTGTTTAAAGAAAGATGAACTTGTCCACATTGCTTGCTGAAAGGGCAGATCTGCTGGCAATAACAATGTCTCCTGCTGTGGATAACACCCTCTCTAGGGACAGTGGCAGCAGATACAGCCAGGTAGCGCTTTGCTAACATGGCAACATAAGGATATTTGGCGTTTGTAATAGCTTTGGCTCGGTCTGAACTCTTTGCGAGTGGTGGAGGCTTAAATGCTAGTGGGAGTTGGGTTTGCACTTCAGTCTTTTTTCTTTTGGTACCGGTGATATTCACATTCGGGTGATGCCTTTTCAAATGAGTGTGATGTATTGCCAGCCGCGTAACCAATGTTAGTTGAACAATGCCGACAAACAGCTTTGGTTCGGTCCACCTGTCTTTGTCCTTCATCCTTGTACGTAACTGCGAAATCAAAATGTTCCCAAACCGGAGACTTCAATGATGCTGGAGGATTTTCAGCTCAACTTTATCTGCGTTCGCCATTTCGACAGTTCCTCAAATTACTGACTACATTTGAACGCATCCCTGTGACTAGCTCTCATAGTATGCCTCTCGTCCAATGAAATGACTTGGTCGCTCTATGATATAGATTACTTCCAGAAAGTTGTTCATGTTCTCAATTTTTTACGTTTAACGCTATATTCGTTCGGTACACACGTGTACCGAACCGAAGGGCCCGTACCAAATAATTTCAGTACGGGTACGTGTACCGTTACACCCCTAATTGATTGATATGATTGCGATTTAAATCAGCATATACTTCTGTCAGGGGATGCCACCCCTCAAAATCTCCTGCCACCCTCTTGCCACCCCATGAATATTTGTCTAGATCCGCCCCTGGATCTCACCATATGCCGTTTCCATGGAAACGCATCCCTCACCATAAAACATGATGTCGCTATGACTCCTATGCAAATGTTCAAAAAGTGCTCAAACTTCACACGTGTGGCAACAGTCCAGCCGTGAAGACATCTACGGGACAGTTTTTAGATTTCCTCAAATGCCGTTGCCTTGGCAACACAATGCTCGCCTTGAAACGCGGCTTATAACTTCAGTGAAAATACTCCAAACGCCCGAAAACTTCACAGGTTTGGTAAAGATGCAGCCATCAACGCATCTAAGCGTATTATGGGATGTCATCAAATGCCGTTGGCATGGCGACAGATCATTCGCCATCAAGTTAGTTCAAAAGTTTGCAGTTCAAATATTCTGCTGCTTTTCCAAGCCTTTTTACTTTCTTTTCTTCTCTCATCACACATTCAAGCCCCCAGTGTTCATGTATCATTTCAATCTAAATTCTTCACTTTCTTCTTACACATTACATTTCAGCATAGCAGTTTAGCGTCAGCTTTTCAGCATAAAGCATTCCCACTAGCAATTTCTTCTTTCTCTAGTTGATAAATGCAGCCCTAATTGAATGCGTGTAATAGCCAAAGTGCAACAAAAATATTCAAAACAAATGCATTATATTCAACTAAAGACAAAACAGATTTCCTATTAACTTCCGCTTTCTGTTGAAGTGAAGCGATAAGGGATTTACAGAAGTAAATTGTTAACCAGCAGCATTGATATGATGCGTCACATGACCATGTCGGGGTCGGATATGCATGCTCATTCACTCATTGTGTGTATCACGCCTGCAGATGTGACAGTGTGGCAGACAGCAGACCGCCTCCTCCAGCAGCACACAATGATCCAACTCTTCATCGACTCAAGTCGTCAGTTCCTGAGAGGAGCGCCGAGAAGCCTCTGTCCTTTGTAGCAGGAGTGTTCACCAGATAAACCCCCATCGCGGGATCTGCCTGTTTTGGTTTGAGGCGGGTTTCCCCCTCCGTGTTCATACACCGGCTCACCTGCAGAAGTTAAAAACCATGCGACCCCGGGCTGCGCTCCCCCGGTAAGTCACCTTTATGTGCGGTTTGTCCATGCTCGGAAAAACTTTACAAGTCAATTTAGAGAAGTTCCTAAGCAGTTAACTGCGATGTTAAATGTTAACTGTACTGTTAAAATGTAATTGATGCAGTGGTAAAATAAACGATGTATAGTTTACAGATGTTTTTCCCCCCTACAAATAATGTACATTTTGATTAATTCAGTTACTCAATGTGTGAATGACTTGCAAGATGCAAATGTCATGCTATATATTTTAGATAGGTGTTACTTATATGTCTTGTGTAACCCTGAACCCACAAATAGAGACTACAGTCAGTAGAACAAAATGTTATTTAGCTACTTTTGAAGGTTTAAGGTCCAATTCCCAGACCACTTAAGGAATTTTCCATCAGAGTATAGTGGCCTGATCTTTGCCCTATTCTTCATTTTTGCAGCATTACAACAGCGGAAGTTTACAGCTGCCAAATTCCAGGGCAGAAAAAAAAATCCTCAAGTTGAAATCCTCCTCCTCAATTCCCATAGTTGTAGTTGTGAATTCATGACGCTGACTTTAGGAGTGGGAATTTCTCTTCATGCAGACAGCAAGAGTGGCACGGACATCCAATCACATTCAACAGAGACTCTTGAGTTATGCAGAAATGTTCGAGTCTGACAGGAATGGGTCTTCAATTAGTTTTCCTGATCTGTCCTTCTGTCCATCCACAGGTTTCCCTCCATTCTATTTCTCCTCTTCCTTCCCCCTGTTTTTTCCTCTTCCTCCCGCCCCCAGTGGGTTCCCCAGCGTGTCCCTGTGGTCCTCGCACAGCAGACGGAGGCTCGATCAGCCCCTCACTTCCTGTCTCCGGCCCGCTTGGACGTCAGCTCCCCCTGTGACCCAGAATGCCACAAGAAGGCTCCTCGTCCAAGCTACTGGGACCTGCAACGTCTTCTGGCCTATGAGACACTCAACTCGGATGGGCAGCTTACTGAGACAGCTGTTGCGATCTATGGCTACGACCCCAACACGAGTCCGGCCTATTCCTCTGGGTCTTCTGGGAAGGCCCAGCGGTCACATGTCAGGAGGAAGCGACAGGTCTTTGGCCATGATGGGCGTTTTAGCATTTCTGGGCAGAACCACTTGCTGAAATATCCATTCTCAGTGGCCGTCAAGCTGTCCACTGGGTGTTCTGGTACATTGGTTGGTGACCGTCACGTTCTCACAGCTGCTCATTGTGTTCATGATGGTAAGAACTATGTGAAAGGAGCCCAGAAGCTCCGGGTTGGGTTTCTAAAAACGAAGCATCAAGACACACAGGCGTTGTCCTTTGACCTTTCCTCCAACTTCACCAACCATGTTGAAGGTGGCCACGTTCCTTACGCCCCACCAACAAACGACAAAATGAAGTTCCAGTGGATCAGAGCGAAGCGCACACATGTGCCTAAAGGATGGATTAAAGGGAATGCCAATGACATAGGAATGGACTATGACTACGCTTTGCTTGAGCTCAAGAAACCCCACAAACGCCGCCATATGAAGTTAGGAGTCAGCCCCCCCGCTCTGAGGCTGCCCGGTCGACGAGTCCACTTCTCAGGGTTTGACAATGACCGTTCAGGCAAGCTTGTGTATCGGTTCTGCCGGGCCGGCGAGGAGACGTCCGACCTGCTGTACCAGCATTGTGATGCTCAGCCCGGGGCCAGCGGGTCAGGGGTCTACGCCCGGATGTGGGATGGGCAGCGCCGGCGCTGGGAGAGGAAGGTGATCGGTGTATTTTCTGGGCATCAGTGGGTCGAGCGACAAGGGGCGTCTCAGGAATTTAATGTTGCAGTGAGAATCACACCTCTCAAATACGCTCAGATCTGCTACTGGATAAAGGGAAACTTTGTGGACTGCCGAGAAGGGTAAGGGGTGTAGCAACAAACTGGATCATTGGGGGCTGAAACAACTCAACCCACCACTAGTAACACTGACATAAAATCAAAAATAAACATCAACATTTAGTTTCCCCTGATCACATATGGCAATATCAATAATGTAAATACACACCCAAATCCAGTAGTGACACTAAACATAGTAAACAGGACCGATTCATTTCCAAAATACTTAGTTTTGTATCTTCTCTCCCATTTCTCAAATATGACAACGTTTTACATGTGTATTAACTTGAAAAAGTGTAAGTCATGTGGTTTTGCAGAACAGAGGCACACTTATCCGTTTCCTGGAACAATTTTCTTGTTGATAATTTCATCTGGAAGACACTCATATCTGGAACATGCATGGACTGATATAAAACAGGTCATCAGATCACAAGGAGCAGGACTGGGAAAAGGATTTCACTATGTATTCTAGCCTTTTAGTGTGCTTATACTAAAGATTGCACTGTTTAAACTCTTGAAGTTTCTCTACTGAAAAGTAGGATTTGTGTGGATGAATGTACAAATCAGCAACCAAAGGTGCCTGCAGTTTCTCTTTTAAAGATGTGTCTTCTCTCAGTGGACAAACTAGTTATCTACATAGAGTGCTCTGTCAGCTACACAAACTGTGTTTTGGAGGTATATTTAACTTGTTACACAGAAATATTTTAGACGACTGCAGATTACTTGTTTTTATGAAGCCCATTTTGTTGAGCTTTATACATTAATGCTTAGCTCCCTCTGGTGGCAAACATAAACATAAATAACAAATGTTATGTCTCAGAAACTGAACGGAATGAAATATATGCTCTGAAATAAGCAAATGTTTCAAATGTGTTTCTTTTCCAGCAGGCAACATGTCGCTCATACAACACGATTATTTTAAACATTTGTTTTATTTTGGATGTCAAAAGGCATTTTCAGAAATCATGTGGGGAAACTAGACAGAGTAAAAAGCCGAAATATGAGGACCAGCTCCAATGACTTCTCCAGCAGCAACACATTCAACTGAATCCGGGGATATGGCACATGGAAAACTAACTGCAAATTTGACAACTTTCATAGCTGTAGACGAAAAACAGATCATCAGCTTCAGTTTTAATAAAAACCTGTTTTCAAGTTTCCTATAAGCTGAAGAAACACCAAATACACTTTGGGGCAATGTGGTCAAGCTCTTATAGGACCTAAAAAAAACCTCTTCTTCAGTTGTGGTGTTATGGGTTTCTTAAAAAACAAAGAATGTGTCAAACTTGAGCAAAGACTTAACATTCAAGAACAAGATTTCAATCAAACTTAAAAATGTCTTCCCTCTGTGTTACTGAGATAAGGGTGATACAAGTACACCCATTAAAAAACTGAAATTGATGTGATGGTGCTCAATCGGAGGCTGGTGCTACTACCCTTAAATACCTGCCAATTCAAGAAACATTTGCTACATTCAAGTGGAAAATGACTGCAAAATAAAGCAGAAACACAGAGGAGAGGATTTAAGGGCTGGATGTGCAGAATAAGCATAGTAATGGGCACATGTATGGCATTTGTGTATAAGAAAAACAAATCGTCAAACTCATAGAGACACAGAGCAGCACCGGTGATCCAGACAAGTACACACTAGTTCATCTCAACAGTAGTTGCCTCCATCTCATTTACACTCAACATGAAACTTGACTGAAGCAGTCAATGTGAGATTCACGACCTCACAGGAAACATCGATCTTTTGATTTTCTACTTAGATTTGAACCTCAGGAAAGGAAAAAAACTTTTTTCTGTTGATTTCTATCTGAATACTGAACAGCCTACTTAGTACTGCTTTTAGTTTTTGACTGAGTTAGAGACGGGGAATGAGAGGAGGCTCATAAAGAGAAACATACTTTGGAGTAAAAGGATGTTCGCCAAATGTGACTTAACAGAAAAGGCAACAGCATGCAAGGCAACCTGTTTCAAACACCATACCGGTAACTTAGAATACATAAACTGGTAATGATGTGACGCATACAGTCTCTCTTCATCACCCATGGAAAGGTCACTATAAGAACACCCTCTGCTGTCAAATCCATGAGAGCACGATGACAATATGATATATTTGCAGAGTGAGAAATGTTAGGTCCTAGGACGTACCAACAGAAATCTTTATTATTAGCCACATTTATTCCTTTGACCCTATTGCGATATGGTCCCAATACCATTATGGTTTAAGCATTGAGGCACCAAATCGAAAACATTGACTGGATCACCTTTAACACAAATTAGTCATTGAGAACTTTTCAGCATGTCAAAAGGGTAGTCAGTCAGGCATCAGCAAGTTGACTTTAATCCTCATCTGGGTACAGCAGCAGCCCTGCAAAGTTAACACTTCTTAAGGAACAACCAGAGCAGGCAGGGCTATATGACAAGAAATAACAGTCAGGGTTAAGCTGTTTTCTGAAATGATTTGTGGGTGTGCTTTTAATTTACAGATGCCAATAGTATTTCCACCCCCACACACCGGTTGACACTCGGGTGTACGTTTGTAAAGACTGGTGCTGTAACTGCCTTCCAGATAGCCAATGAAATGAAAGAAGCAGATACTGAGAGTGAAAAACAAAGTACCTAATGTGATTGAGGAAGAATACCGCCATCTCTGCAGAGGAAGTGGATCAGAGTACCTAAGGTGTTTTCCCTATAAACTCATCTGAAGGTTGTACCAACGTTTTATTCTACTTGGTGGTTCAAATCCACACTGAGGCTCTGTTTGGAGCCACACTTTGATTCAGCAGGTTAGCTTAGCACAAAGACTGGAAACGGTGGGAAACAGCAAGACTGGCTAAAGGTTACAAACTAATAAACACATTCAATCTCCTTTGTTTAATTCATTCAAATGTGTGAAAATGACAAGACAAATATATGTGGTTGCCTGGCAACTGCTCAAAGCCAATAAATAGTCTGGCGCTGTTGTTTTTACGCTTACATATTTGTTCTTATTAAACAAAGGAGACATACGTGCTGATGAGTGAGTTTTAGAGGTGCTGGAAGGCAGATTCTGTTACTATCGGTTTAACCAGGCTAGACATTGAATACATTTCTGCCTTTTTGCCATCTTTGCGCCAACTGTGCTGTTGCCTCACACTTGATGGACAGATATGAGTCAGGATCTGAGGCACAACTCCTTCCACTGCTCTGAGTGGCTCGTCTGTTTGACTGACTGTCAGAGGCCAGGCTTGCTCTGTGATTGGCCACCTGCACTTAAAATATCTTTGGTGAAAGTCACCTCCTGGCATTCCCTGACTTCCCTGTCGCCTAGCAACAACATAACACAACATGCTAATGCCCGGCGTAACTCAAAATAGTATACAAAATAAAAATATTCTTTTAAATAGGTATATAAACATTGCATTACAAATAGAACCATATCAAAACATGGTTACGAGTTCACAGTCTGTCCCTCATCCTCCAAGCGTGAGTGCGGATCAACCCTCCGGTCCTTTTCCAGACCCCCACCCGTCTCGCCTCCACAACAAGAATACGTGGAGGATCACTGCACCTTGAGCCCCAAACTGTTGGAGGACACAGGGTAGGAGTAGGCTTTGCCCAGCACGATGCGATCTCGCAGCAGTTTAAAAAGGACATAGTAGTTGCAGAAGAGAATAAGGCCCAGAGACAAAGTGTGGTTCCAGCGCTCGGAGCGCAGCAGAGAGTATAACTGGTACAAAACCACACTGGACTCGATCCAGATCAGCAGGTTCAGGATCCGCAAGGGCTTGTGGAACAGGAACTGGAAGACCAACAGACAGGAAGATAAGAAGATAAATGACAATGCATATAGAAAGGTCAAAGCACTTAATATGCAGGGTGTGAACCATCTTTCTTTAATGCAATATGCAATATAGAATATGCTTTCAGAGGTAGAAGGAAACTGATTCTTCCGCTGTGTAGTACTTTTGTATAGTACTGCAAGTGTACTTCTCTTCTAGTTTAATATTTTACAGGTTAATCCATCCGTCATTATAATAAAAAGAACAGATACTCACATAAAACCTTGCATGGGAAACATCAGAGGGCAGAGCAACATTATAGGTTCCGACTGCCTTATACAGCGATCGACTGTGTCGTACCAACACCCCCTGAGGCCAAATGGTACTTTCTGACCACCTGCAAAATATATCAAAAGTTATACATGCACCATTGATAGTCAATTTGAAAATCTGTGTCTAATGTGTTTACGATTCTCCACTCACACATGCTGAGGAGCGTTGCTGTACGAGCCGTGCTCCAGTTTCTGCCAGCGGCCCAGGTGAGCGGCCGAGCGATGCAGCAGGTCGCAGTAGCTAGGCGGCAGCAGCTGACTCATCAGCATCACAAACGCATTGATCCACACCATGATCAGATGCTCACAGGACCAGCGCATGTCATAGTACTGCGTGCTCTGTTGGAGTTAATGGGAAAAGGAACAGTATATTTACTATTTTACAGCAAGAAACTGGGTAAAATGTAGGGCAGGGGTGTCCAAACTACGGCCCGGGGGCCAAATGCGGCCCGCTGACCATTTTTGAATCGGCCCTCAGCAAATAAAAAAAGTATAATGGAATATGGCCCACAAATGAAACTTGTGCTTGTCTTATACTCTACTTCTTAAATGTAAAAATATATTACACAGTAGTATTCATGTGTAAGACCACTTTTCAAATAAATTCAGTCAATTAAAGTTGGAAACATTTTCTAACAAATGTTAGTTGATAAGAAAAAAGCCCAATAACTTATTTACATAACAAGCTTGAAATACATCCTTCCTATTTCTCCTTATTATGATCAATCTGAGGCTTCTGTTTTAAGGGATGATCTGCCAACACTCACAAGCATCATTTACCTACATTTGATTGATTTTGCTAACTTATAACTGAACTTGTGAGACAATATACCTCTAGTGAGTGGCCCAGTCCTTCGTATGTGGCCCTCGGTGAAAAAAGTTTGGACACCCCTGATGTAGGGTCATGATGTGATGGGGAGGGGATACAGAAATAATTTGCACTTTAACGCTGATATTCTCAATAAAATAAAAACAAAAAAGACAGATACCAACCTTAACAAAGCAGAGAGGCAGGAAGGCTACGTAGTAAGCACTGAACAGCGAGTTGAAGAGCACTTCCTTGATTCTACGGTTGAAGTCGCTCTTTAGCTCCTCCACCTCTGCTCGAATTAACTCCGGCGTGTGCGAGTGTGTGTGTGGAGGGCAGGTGTGTGTAGGCATGTGCGGGGGACTGGAAAACTGCTCTCTGAGGTTCTCTCGCAACAGGAAGAGGAAGTCACGTGGTCGAAAGAACGGGGTCTCTGTGAGCTCTGTCTGCTGGTGGTCTGCGGGGTAATCGCTGTCAGCTGGTGCCGTTTGGCTTTTCCCTCCCTCCTGATGGAAACAGCAAAGAGGGACGTACACACCAAATCTAGAATGGAAGGAGGGCGGGGAGCCAACAAGGACAAAAGAAGAGCAGCGAGTTTTAGTCTTTTGAACTGACAGCAGGATGAAAATGAAGTTTATGTATGTGTGAGTGTTTAAATAGGTACATATGTGTTATTTGTAATTTCAAACAACCCCTATGTACTTTTTCGTTTTTATTTTCTACACATTTTCTTTTGTATTTAATTTGCCATTTTCGGGTCACTAAAGAGATAGGATTTGCAAAACTGTACTTTTAATATAATGTAAAATCAGACATTAAGAGAGGTTGGGTCCACGAGATCCATTAGCGCAGAAATAAAAAACGGACAAAGTAGCAACAAGCTCACTGTGAATCAACTGATTAATGGCTATTTGTACTGAACATCTAATGTTTGGTGGCCAAAGGAAACATATTTTTAGATTTATCTAGGGATGTTTTTAATGCTGATAAATGATGGTTTTTTCCTTTCACTTCTGCACCACAACAGCAACGTCATGGTTTGCTACGTTTTGTATCAGATGCACTCCACTATGATACATACACAGAATTGAAACAAAAAGAAAATAAATATAATATTGTGTTGAGTCATTTCCTTTAGAGTTTGATGCCAGACACCATCAATTAAAATAACCCACAACGTTGCTAATCATGTAAGTGTCAATATACCAGCTGGGGTATTGTGGTCCCTGTACATCATGAACATTTGAAACCTGCCACTGCTTTTGATCTTGTTTATGTAGAGCAGAATCAGCGTCTGAATCCATCAACAGCAGTGCAACAAAAACAAGCATAGTTCAAAGTTCTCCATCAAAATCTATTCAACTCATCAACTCTTTCAACACCATGAATGACTTTGAGTAGAGAAAGTGAGAGTGCCATGTTTTGCCCATTTATGTCATGCATTGCTGTTTCTCTTTATGATGGCAGGCCTTTTGATCCACTTAAAGCCTTTCAGAACAGGTATTTACAAGTTCTTCTGCCTTGAGACGTGGTCAGACCACAACTTATACATGCATTTCCTGGCCTTTAGAGGGTATTGTAGGGGGTATCAAAGACTCACGGGTATCCCAGGAAGAGGAGGTTGAGCACAGAGTGGTTCTTGCAGAGGTTGACCAGCGTCCAGCAGAGCACCCAGCCGCAGAGCGTCAGCAGGCTGAGCCGCGCTGCGATCAGAACCACGTAGCGGAGAAGGGATCCGCCGCTGCTCTGAGACACCTGCACAGGACGCCACCACAGGTTACCAGAGAGACAGCCGGGGGGTTTGATTCCCACAGAGGTTATGTGTATTTAATGTTGCTGCTTATTGTATGTTGTGTGTTTACCTCTGAAACGATAGTCCAAACAAGCCTCCTGGCCAACATGACTGTAATAAAGATAGCCAGGTGGTAGTCCATCAGATGGAAATTCTGTTCAAACATAGAGAAAGAAGCAATCATTATTTTTCCATGGAGACATTTTTTTTGTTTGTTAAAAATTGTACATATTAAATTAGACCTGAACATAAACAATATACTGTTAATATTTTATGAACTGTGTGCAGTGGCTAAACAACTGTATTGGTTTTCCAATTCAGAGAAGTCATTACTGCCAAACTGTTAATGTTTTACCTATTTAAAAAAAAAGAGGGAAGGTTGATTCCAACTCTTTTTAACCCAGATGTTCCCTGCTCACATTCAAAAATGAGTTTTTGTTTGGTTAAAGAAAATAAAGTTGGAATATTTCTAATAAACAGAAACAGAGAAAAAAATAAAGAAAACAATAGCAAAGAAGTCACTTAAAAGTAAAAAATAAATAAATAGAAAAGCAATAACAAATCAAGCTGGTGTGTACTCCAGGTTTCAGTCGTCTTTTTAATATTCATGGTACATGGTTTCAACTAAAAAGATTAGCCCGGTCTTTGGATGTACGTGTGAAAAATTGAGATTTGTTTTTACATTTTCAAAGTTAAGAAAGAAAAAAGCATGACTTTGATTGGCCAGTGTGTTCTTACGAGCGAGGTAGAGGCAGCAGGGTGGCTGTACGGGTACCACCACACCGTCCTGTAGATGTTTATGTACTGGACAAACAAGGCCACCAGCAGATACAGGAAGAGCAGGAACTCAAACAGCAGGCTGCTGTCCAACGGCAGCTCGGGGATCCTTGAGTGACGCACCGGCTCCGGAATAATGAGGGCCGAGATAGGGGGCGCAGACTGACCCACCACGTTACTGCTCCTGAGGGAACACAACCACACCTAAAATACACTTGTAGACAAAAAGTGTGGTGCAGAACAATGTTTGTGTCACATCACACCAAATTCTCAAACCTTGACTCAGGCTTGAAGTTCATCTCTATTCTTACGCCAGTTTTACAAGGATTACATCTAATATTTTTTCAGAGAAATCCATTCGCAACTATTTTGATGGACAACTCATCTTTATGTAAATGATCTCTTTGTCATTCTTAAATTATTTTTGTTTTAATTCCAAACAAAGTCCCAACATTTTAGTGACCTTAATCTATAAATAACGGTAATTCTTTAAGACGGAATATAAATGACGTGGAAGAGATTACTATATGATTAAAGAATATGTTTAGCTGATGTTTGATATCCAGGCTCTAATATCCTAGACCTAGGGGAACGACAATAACAATTTAGTGGAAGTGGATCAGAGCATGCAGGTGGATGCTGGGGTGGAGCTCGTTAAATACTAAAGGCTCAGCAGCAGCAAGCGCATCGTTTTCAGGAGAGCCTTTGATTGGCCACTGACGGCTCGACTGTTTGAATCCATTTTTAAGTATTGCTGATAACATTTAGTTGTGTTCAATTTAATGGAGTTACTGTTAATCTCTAGTAATAATGACAAGTAAGTCAAAAATAATTTTAAATGATAATACGGCTAGCTAAATGCATGTCTGATAAAGTACTTTAAACATTCCATCTAAGTGGACAATAAAAAAGAGCATTAAAGCCTTACTGGGTAAGACTTAAAGTGAAATGGGGTTTTCTTTCCAGACTATTTTGTTTTTAAGTTTCCATTCAGCATAACGTCTGATAAAAACAGTGCGTGCTCACCTGTTCCTGATGCCTGTCCCATTGCTGATGTTGCCTCCGACCAGAGTCTGCAGGGACGGCAGAGCAGAGCGACTTAGCTGCTGTCTGCTGGGACCCCTGCGACCTCCTGGCATGGTTGCCAGTTACCTTGGCAACCACGGATGCCGCCCACCAACCAACAGCCGCTGGCACTCCTCCCCTTCTCCTCAACGAGCCACCATGTACAGTCAGGCCACTGCGGGGGAAATACAAAACGCTCAACAGATTATTAAAAAAATGCAAGTCACGCAGAGACGTAAAACCAACAAACCTTTATAGGAGAGCACCCCGGAGACAAATTAAATATAATTTGAGTATAGACCTGTCCCGTGGTGTTTAATTCACACACAAATTGAGCAGTTGAGAAATTAATGAGTGGAAGGAAAATTGGAGCACTGTGCAGATGCTGCAGTTTGTCAATGACTTATTTATTAAATGTTATGTTCTCCCTTATGTTTATTAAATGGTTAACTGTTGCATGACTTGTGATTCTAAGTACAACAAAATGGCCTGTAAGTTAGACATCTGCCTGCAGGACCACAGATATTCAGCCGTCACTGAAGTTGATGAAAAATAGATCCAAACAGATATTTCACCACTGTTGGATTAAAAGTAGGAAACAAAGTTAAAAAGGGGTTTCCTTAAATAAACCAGCAACTTAACAGCTTGATCTGAGAATCTGCTGCACTTTAAAACATAAAGACATTAACGTTCATTGTTTGGTCTGTTTGCCACTGCTTTGATCAGCCTTTATCAAACCTACACCAGATGTAAACTTGAAATAAAATATCGCTATTAAAAAAGGCATCCTGCCAGTTGTAAAAGGATTACATCTAATAATGTGTCAATGGACATATTACCATTATGTCAATAATGAGGAAACAGGAACTATGTCAGCAGTCCATTTCATTTAGTTTCATTTCGTTTTTTGAAAAGTGCTGTATAAATAAAAATAAAGTTATTTCCGCCTTCACAAACCTGCCAGGGTTTACCCCAGGAAACTATTGAGCATTACATTACATTTAGCTGACGCTTTTATCCAAAGCGACTTACAATAAGTGCGTTCGACCAACAAAATACAACCTTGAAGAAAACAGAATCATATAAGTACATCAGGTTTCATAGAGCAAAAACATTTCAAGTGCTACTCAACTGGCTTTAGATAAGCCAGCCCTTTATTAGTATATAAGTGCTTTGTTAATAGTTCTATCGCTCGAAGTGGAGTCGAAAGAGATGAATTTTCAGTCTGCGCCGGAAGGTGTGTAAGCTATCTGCTGTCCTGATGTCAATGGGGAGCTCATTCCACCATTTTGGAGCCAGGATAGCAAACCCACGTGTTGTTGCTGATGGGAACTTGGGTCCCCTTCGCAGCGAGGGTGCAGCGAGCCGTTTGGTTGATGCAGAGCGGAGTGCACGTGCTGGGGTGTACGGTTTAACCATGTCCTGGTTGTAGGAAGGGCCAGATCCATTCGCAGCATGGTACGCAAGTACCATTGTCTTGAAGTGGATTCTAGCAGTTATCGGAAGCCAGTGAAGGCAGCGGAGGAGCGGCGTGATGTGGGAGAATTTAGGAAGGTTGAAGACCAGGCGAGCAGCTGCATTCTGGATGAGCTGCAGAGGTCGGATGGCACATGCAGGTAGACCAGCCAGGAGGGAGTTGCAGTAGTCTAGGCGTGAGATGACGAGAGCCTGGACCAGAACCTGCGTCGCTTTCTGGGTCAGCATCCTCCTGATGTTGTAAAGCGTGTATCTGCAGCAGCGGGTTGTAGCAGCTATGTTTGCAGTGAAGGACAGGTTGTTATCTAGGGTCACACCCAGATTCCTTGCAGTCTGAGTCGGGGAAACAACAGAGGTGCCAATGTTGATTGTTAGGTCAAGAGTGGGACAAACTTTTCCCGGAAGGAAAAGCAGTTCAGTCTTGTCAAGGTTGAGCTTGAGGTGATGATCACACATCCACTGAGAGATGTCAGCTAGACAAGCAGAGATGCGTGCGACGACCTGGGTCTCTGAGCGGGGAAAGGACAGAATTAATAGGGTGTCGTCAGCGTAGCAGTGGTATGAAAAACCATGCGGGCTAATGACTGATCCGAGCGAGTTTGTGTACAAGGAGAAGAGGAGGGGACCAAGAACAGAGCCCTGAGGGACCCCTGTAGTTAATTGACAAGGGTCGGACTCGGACCCTCTCCAAGTAACCCTGTAGGTGCGGTCTTTGAGGTATGAGGTGAGGAGGGAAAGTGCAGAGCCTGAAACTCCAAGTTCTTGGAGAGTGCGAAGGAGGATCTGATGATTCACCGTGTCGAATGCAGCAGACAGGTCCAAAAGGATGATGACAGAGGAGAGGGAGGCTGCTTTAGCAGTGTGCAGTTCCTCAGTGACAGCAAGGAGGGCAGTTTCTGTGGAGTGACCTGCCTTGAAACCAGACTGGTGCGGATCCAGAAGGTTGTTCTGATGGAGATAGCAGGAGAGTTGTCTAAAGACAGCGCGTTCAGAGGTGGGGGTCCACTCATTTTCTGACCTATTTGTTATTCTTATGTAGCATCAATAGAAGTGCATTTAGTTGTGAAATCCAGTGTAAACAATGACATTAAATAAAAAATGAAACCTCAAATCTTTAATGTACGGCATTTTTAATTTGCGTGAAATAATCTCCGCAGCGTGCACATCTTTTAAGTTTAATTTCAGAATTTTAGAGGAGGGTATAACATGCAAGAACAGTCATCGGCTGGAATTGAACGGGCTGTATGGAACTTAATGTAACAAATTGATTACAGAGACTGCATTTATTTTTAATGTTTTCTTAAGTATCATTTCAATACACAAATTCTTAGTCATTCATTTGAGTTTTGAATCCCTAATCAATCAAATAACCGTTTTTTTTTGTTATGAGGGTTCAACTTTATGGTGATTTTATGGATGCGGTTGCATTATAAACCCTATTGTTCTCCAGCTCCACTACAGATTACAGCCTCTGAATTTGAATGAACCGCTCTCCCAAACAAGTTCAACATAAACTACGGTTGGATTTATTGCATGACTGTTGAATAGACCATGGCTGACATTTTGACTTGTCAATGCAGGAAAAGCACAGTTTTCATTATGTATACTACATAATATAATTTGTAGTATGTATTAACATAAATCCAATTGATTAAGTATTCAAGTTAACGATATCAGTGAAGGAACATGCACAATACACCTGTGCTTCACCTGCTTTAGTACAAATTAATGTCTGCCATGAGAAGAGGATACGTGACTGAATTAGTTTCAGCAGCAGTTAAGAAAGTGAAAATGGGAAACAAAATGAAAATGACTTATAGTACTTACCTATCATCTTTTCACCTCATAGAAGCAGCTCCATTTACCACGATTAATACCGATCACTGAAACATCCCAAAAAGCCTTCCTGTAACTGTAACACCACTGGCAACTGTTTAACCAGAGCGCTCACCAATCTACTACCTGGAGTACCAGACCTGTTTGTGTGCAGTCCAACAGCTGTTTGTGTCACAAAGTGAATAAAGTCAGTATGTTAGACAGTGGGACGGATGGTTAAACCTTTTATATAATTGTTGCATGTTACATATAATGTTGTGATTGTAATGTTGTGCGCTGTTTAGCGATGAACTCTTTATTTGCATGCTTGTTTAACCTCCTCAACGAACTGTCACAACAAAGACACAGACACTGCTTATTGACACACCAGCACCCAGTGAAAATCAGCGATCTCATTCGCCAGTTGACAAATCCACTCCCCCATAAATACGCTGACTACCTGCTAGACGGCAGCTATTCTTCTCTTGACAGTTGCTGCCTCACCTCGCCGCAGATCGGACCGGATCGGATCCCTCCTGCTCCTCCTTACCTCGCCGCAAATCGGACCGGACCCTCCTCTAACCATCGGATTCAACGCTGAAACAAACTCCAGATAAAGGGAAGTGGCTATTTCTCCTGCTTTTGGGCGTCTAGTTTTACGTCACGAAACTTACATTGTTGTCTCCTCCCCTGAGTCTCCTTTTGTTGTTTACCGAGGGCTCCGCGACCAGAGGCTGACGGACAGAGTGCGGCGTGCCGGCAACGTGGAAATCCTGGCACTGGATTTCCTGGAAGGGACTTGAACCTTGCACTTCTGCCTGGCAAAAACCCGGAGTTGAGTTCGCTTCCAAGCGGACAGGACTTTCAGAATTGTATCAACCCCTGCTAGCACTGTAATTCTTAAGTAACTGGTTTATATTTATTGAACATTATTTTAACCTTACGTTATTTTAAGTATTTATCAAAGGAGTGTTTTTAAGGTAACTTTGTACAAATAAACCATTTTACGATGAAGAATATGAAGCTGTAAGGCCCAGTGGGTCATCAGAAAATGGGGGCAGGCTAGAAAATAGTCAGCCTGTGGTAAATGCAATGATGATGCATTGGTTTATGGGAGTCCCATGGATCCCAAAGTTCAATGCTGACCGAAGCAAGATGTGTTTTTCTGAATGGCATGGGCAGGTTCAGGCAATGCTGAGGGCACAAGGATTAAATGAGGAACAGAAAATTGATTTTATTTTTGGGGCACTTGAGGGTGACGCAAAAAGGGAGATGCGGCTGCTTGACCCCAACAAACTCTCAAGTAGCATAGCCATACTGCAGGAGACTGTATGGACGTGTAACCCCAGTAGCCCAGCTTCGGGCACAGTTTCTTCAAATGTTACCAACAAGAAGAAGAAACTGCTGCTTCTTTCCTCCTTCGGCTCCGTGAACTATTCCACCAATGGGAAGAAGTGGAACCAGCTGGCTCAGCCCAGGATGAGAGGACTATCCGAGACCAGCTTGTCCTTGGTTTGAAGCCCGGTATGGTACAACAGGAACTTCAACGGCAGGTGCGTAGAAATCCTACAATGTCCTTCCGTGAGGTGTCTGGTGAAGTTAAAGCATTAGAAACTGAACTAAGGATGGAGTCTGCCTGTGCATCACGTGTTTCAGTGCCACAGCCACGACCGGCCATGGCACCACCTAGCCTGGAAGAATGGAGAGAAACAGTAAGAACTGAACTCAGGAAAGAAATGAAAGACCAACTGTCCATTATTACAGAGACTCTTACAGAAGAGATCAGACGCCAACTCTCACCACAAAATGCCCCAGTTGGGCACAGAGACTCTACCCCACCCCCTAACAGACTAGCTCAGAGAGGCCATAACGCATCCTCCCCCAGGCAACAAAGGTTCGAGTGGGACCAACGTGGCCAACCTATTTGCAGAGGCTGTGGGCAGGCTGGCCATATTCAGAGAAACTGCCAGCATGTAAGGGGGCCGTTAAACTAACAGCCTCAGCCACTGAGAGCCATGTGGTTGGGGAGGGGAATCAGGGAAACCAAGCAGACAGGCCCTCTATTGTTGGGGAGTGCCCAGGGGTTGACATACTAGTAGCAGGAGTAAAATTGCCCTGCTTGCTTGATACAGGCTCACAAGTTACGCTGTTTAGTGAAACTTTCTTTCAGAAATGGTTGAGTGGAGAACAGAAAATAAACCCACAAGATCTGCACTGGCTAACGCTCAAGGCAGCCAATGGACTAAAGATCCCCTACACCGGGTACGCCATCCCGGATTTCTCAGTGGGAGGAGTCACTGTGCCAGGAAAAGGAGTCATCATTGTCAAAGATGAGTGTCTGAAGGCGGAAAGAGGTATACTAGGGATAAATGTGATTTCACACTGCTGGAAAGAACTGTTTCAGGGTGTCCACCCCGGGCTGACTGCATTCGGAGCCACCATGTCCCAACAAGCCAAAGGAGAGTGGGAACGTGCCTTTGCTGTCTGCCAAAAGGTGTCACAAATCGATTCCTCGGATGGACCGGTGGGAGTGGCCAGGTTGACCCGCCAGGAATCAGTGGTTGTGCCTCCAAACAGCGAGATGGTGCTCTGGACACAGCTGTATGGGGCGGAGATCAAGTCAGATTTGTGTGCCCTGGTGGAAGGACCAGAAAGAGATGACGAGTGGCAGGTAGCCCGCACCGTCGCCTGGGTGGTGAAAGGACGGCTCCCCATAAGGGTATGTAACCCAAATCCTTACCCAGTCACAATACCCCAACGGCGCCCGCTTGCTAATGTCTTCCAGGTTGAACCAAGCCAGATTCGGGGAGAAAAGGACCTTGTACTGAAAGCCTCAGACCCAGGTGTAGTAGAGGTGGATGTCCAGGTGAACCGGGTCACCGTTGAAGGCCAGCATCCAGTCAACCTGCTAAAAGGGGAGGGATTGTTGACCGAACAACAGCAGAAAATGGACTCCCTGTTGCAGCGATGGCGGGATGTCTTTGCAGCAGGGGATGAGGATTTTGGTCAAACTGATGCAGTCCTCCACTCCATCCCCACAGGCTCTGCACCACCTAGCCGGGAGCGCTACAGGCCAATCCCACCAACCCTCTACCCTGAGTTGAGGAGCCTCATCCAAAACATGTTGGACACAGATGTTATCAAGGAAAGCTCCAGCCCTTGGGCGGCACCCATCGTATTGGTATGGAAGAAAGATGGATCCTGGCGCTTCTGTGTCGATTACAGAAGGCTCAATTCTCTGACTCACAAAGATGACTACCCCCTGCCAAGAATTGAAGAATCCCTCACAAGTCTCAAACAAGCTGCTTGGTACTCCACTCTGGACCTCGCCAGTGGATTTTGGTAGGTGGAAATGGACCCAAAAGATCAGGAGAAGACGGCATTCACCACCCCCATGGGCCTCTACGAGTTCCAGAGGATGCCCTTTGGCCTTTGTAATGCCCCAGCGACTTTCCAAAGACTAATGCAGCGCTGCCTGGGAGGACAGGTCCAGGAGTCTCTACGGATCTATTTGGATGACGTGGTAGTATACTCCCCTGATTTTGACACCCACATTGAATACCTGGAGCAGGTTTTCGAAAAGCTGGCCGCCCACGGCCTGAGGTTGCAGCCCCATAAATGCCACTTGTTTCGGGAAAAGGTCACCTACCTCGGACACGTCATCTCGAAGGACGGAGTATCCACAGAGCCTGAAAAGACCGCCGCTGTAAGGAACTGGGCAACCCCTTCAACCATCAAGCAGGTACGGTCATTCCTTGGATTTGTAGGATATTACCATAGATTTGTGAAGGGCTTCTCCAAAATCGATGCACCCCTTAACGCTCTCCTAGTAGGTTCTGCTAGCATGCGACAAGGGAAGAATGCCGTGGATTGGACTGCAGACTGCCAGGTGGCATTCGATGCTCTGAAGACTGCGTTGGTGAGTGCCCCAGTTTTGGCCTTTGCCGACTTCGCAAAGCCATTCCATCTCTACACTGATGCTAGGCTAGGAGGATTGGGGGCAGTGCTATCACAAGTACAGGATGGCAGGGAGAGGGTTATTGCTTATGCCAGCAGAAGCTTACACCCCACTGAAAGGATCGACAAAAATTACAGTGCATTCAAACTGGAGTTTTTGGCCCTCAAGTGGGCTGTCACTGAGAAATTCAAAGACTATTTATGGGGCAACAAATTCCTGGCTTTTACAGACAATAACCCACTTGTCCACCTGAACACAGCACACTTAGGTGCCACTGAACAGCGGTGGGCAGCCCAGCTGGCAAACTTTGACTTGAAATATCGCCCTGGCTCTGCAAACCAGAATGCTGATCTTTTGTCCAGGTTGCCACAAGACGCAGAACCCACCCAGCAGAGACAGCAGTGGTGGAATTGGAGGACACCCCTGAAACTGAAGACCATTGGAAGCATTGTCAGGAAGGAGACCAAGCACTGGTCCAAGTGAAGGGGTGGGTGGCAAGAGGACACTTCCCACTACCTGAGGAAAGGAAAGCCAGTCAGCCTGCAGTAAAACGTCTCTTGCGAGAATGGAGCCGGTTATACATCCAGGAAGGTGTGTTGAAGCGGAGAACCCAAGAGCGTCATACTGGGCTGAACCTCTCCCAAATTGTGGTGCCCACTGGCAAGACACAGGAGCTGTGGGAAAAGTATCACCAAGCCTGAGGACACATGGGCATAGCCAAGATCGATGCCCTGCTGAGGAAGACTTTCTACTGGGTAGGGATGGGAACTGACCTACAGACAGGGGCGTCCAATTGTGCGAGCTGCACCCAACAGAAAAAGAGCCCAGAGGTAAGAGCACCTTTGGTTCCTATCCTAACATCATACCCTTTGGAAATTGTCTCAATCGACTACTTGTCTCTTGGCCGGCATGGCGACACTTACCCTTATCTATTGGTTATGACTGACCTTTTCACAAAGTATGGATGGGCTATCCCTACAAAAGACCAGACGGCAGCCACCACAGCTCGTGTTCTCTGGCGACACCTCATCCAGCCATGGGGTTGCCCAGAACGTATCCTGTCTGACCAAGGGGGAGCCTTTGAGTCAAACCTGGTAGCACAGCTGTGCAGCCTTTATGGGTGTGGGAAGGTCCGAACCACACCCTACAGGCCCCAAGGATACGGGGCCTGTGAAAGTTTTAACAAGACTCTGTTGTCTCTTCTAGGATCATTGAGCTTGGCGGACCAAGTACACTGGCCAGACCACTTGCCTTCTCTGCTCCAGATGTATAACAATACCACTCATGAGACGACTGGAATGACCCCACATTTTGTAATGTTTGGCTGGCATGCCCGCCTGCCTGTTGAAACTGCGGTGAGAGCACCACCACTGACTCAGAGACATGACCTGGTAGGCTGGGTACATCAGCATAACCTGACCTTGCAGAGAGTCTACAAACAAGTGGCAGCAAGGACCAAAGCAAACAGACTGCGAGACAAGGACAGGTACGATCGGAAAGCAAAGCACCTCCCCTTGTTACCCGGAGAGCGGGTGCTGTTGCGAAATTTCCGCCGCAGAGGGGAGGGAAAGTTGGCGCCCCACTGGCAGCCCCAACTCTATGTTGTTCATGATCAACTACGCCCCGGCCTGCCAGTTTTCCAGATCAGGCCAGAAGGAAAAGAAGGCCCTATTAAGACAATCCATCGTAACCATCTTAGGCCTTGCCCTTTCGATCCACCTGAAGTACCACATCATGCCCCAGAGATTGAAACAAACTCAATCTTCCCCAATTCGCTACTTCCCAGGCCCCTGTTGTTGCCTTTGACCCTTGTGCCCATAGTAATTGCTCCTCCCACAGGTCCCGTAGGAGAGGACCCTGTGGCCCCACAAGAGCAGAGAAATGCATCACCCCTACGAAGGTCTCGGAGGCAAAACAGGGGTAGGCCTCCAGACAGGTATGGACAGTAAGATTGTCGGGACGACAACTGTTAAAGGGGGGAAGAGTGTCACAAAGTGAATAAAGTCAGTATGTTAGACAGTGGTTAAACCTTTTATATAATTGTTGCATGTTACATATAGTGTTGTGATTTTAATGTTGTGCGCTGTTTAGCGATGAACTCTTTTTATTTGCATGCTTGTTTAACCTCCTCAACGAACTGTCACAACAAAGACACAGACACTGCTGATTGACACACCGGCACCCAATGAAAATCAGCGATCTCATTCGCCAGTTGCCAAATCCACTCCCCCATAAATACGCCGACTACCTGCTAGACGGCAGCTATTCTTCTCTTGACAGTTGCTGCCTCACCTCGCCGCAGATCGGACCGGATCGGATCCCTCCTGCTCCTCCTCACCTCGCAGCAAATCGGACCGGATCGGATCCCTCCTGCTCCTCCTCACCTCGCAGCAAATCGGACCGGATCGGATCCCTCCTGCTCCTCCTCACCTCGCAGCAAATCGGACCGGATCGGATCCCTTCTGCTCCTCCTTACCTCGCCGCAGATCGGACCGGACCCTCCTCTAACCATCGGATTCAACGCTGAAACAAACTCCAGATAAAGGAAAGTGGCTATTTCTCCTGCTTTTGGGCGTCTAGTTTTACGTCACGAAACTTACATTGTTGTCTCCTCCCCTGAGTCTCCTTTTGTTGTTTACCGAGGGCTCCACGACCAGAGGCTGACGGACAGAGTGCGGCGGGCCGGCAACGTGGAAATCCTGGCACTGGATTTCCTGGAAGGGACTTGAACCTTGCACTTCTGCCTGGCAAAAAACCGGAGTTGAGTTCGCTTCCAAGCGGACAGGACTTTCAGGATTTTATCAACCCCTGCTAGCACTGTAATTCTTAAGTAACTGGTTTATATTTATTGAACATTATTTTAACCTTACGTTATTTTAAGTATTTATCAAAGGAGTGTTTTTAAGGTAACTTTGTACAAATAAACCATTTTACACCTATTGTGCTGTCCTTCTCGCTGTATTGGTGTGGCCGGGAATCCGAATCTTTTAATATAAATTTGATGTTAACAGGCCTCACTAGGCTGTTACATTTGCACTACAGAGGCAATTACAAATGTCTAGATATGTCTACAATAAATAAATCACGAGTGTTCATTCAAGAGCCAATATATCATTTAAATTAGGGCTACAACAAAGGATTATTTTCAGGTTGTTCTGAAAAATTAACCTAATAATGTTGTTATCGTTAACACCTTGATTACTCCTGCTGTGACACGTCAGACACGCCGTTAAAACAAAGACCATTAAGCTTCCTCTTTGTGTCATCCTCAAAACACTTCAATACTTATTTCCCACTCATAGACCAATTAATGGTCCGGGTGTGGGAGGCTATGAACAGCTACACGATGACATGACATGCAACAAAAACATGTCCAAAAGACGTGTAGAAGTAAAGAAGAACTGATTGAAGTTGAGGGATGTGAAAACAAGGTGAATTTATTCTACGGTTCCAGCCTCCTAGCGATGAGGATACAATATTTTTCTGTTTCAGGTTATTATGAATTAAGTATTATTGGGTTGTGGGAACTTTCAAAACTGAATCATTGGAGAAAAAACAAAACATACCAAAACAATGTTTTGAATGTGTCTGGAAAAATTAGAAAATTGATCAATTGCACAGTCAGTGGGATGTTTTAAAGATACAAGCTGAGAAAACTAAGACAGCAACTAGCAGTATTTTTTTACATTTCTGATTAATC